GAATCAGTATTTCTCTCCGAAAAAGTGTTTAACAAATAAAATACAATCATTATAAAACTCAAATATCCTTCGCTTCAATCAGAATCTAAAAGTGATCATGTGATTAAACATTTTTGTTTACAGACAGGTAATTCGTTACAAGCACAATAAAAATATAAAATCAAAGTGAACAATTTAAATTTAATATTCATATATTTGCCAAATATTTTAGTAATTGTTAAATGGTACGGTTTGCGGGTGTCTATAACAATTAAAGAACAATAGACCAAGAATTCGAGCCGAGGCTCAGACGAGCGTGCCCCTTCTATGAGATTTCTCTCCTCAAAGAACACGCCCCATACGGGTCGGTGATTCACACGACCCGGGCGGATTGACGCTGCTCCCCGCCGAACTGCCGACTTTCGTACCGTTAAGTCTTGGGAGACCCCAGGCGCCCGGTGCTCGCCTGGTTGACCTAGCGACGCCACAACCCCGTCGAGTCCAACATCAGATCTACCGAAGCAGACTGGGCGCGGCGGAAAGACACGTAGGACACACGCCGCCCTGGGCTAACCGCGCCTCCCGACGTACCATTCGTATTGCGCGTCAATGGTTGGACAAGCGGTGATGGCGGCCAGTCACTCCGCCGTTAACCGTTTTTAGAGGGGACTATCGCCTTGCTGCCATCACGACTCGCGTCTACTAAGGGGGTACGGGACCGGTGCGACGCGACTTTTGACAGCGGCTCCGCTCCGGACCCGTGGCCCCCGAAGGAGTGCGAGAATCACATGAGACGCAACAAGACGCCCGGACGCCCGTAAGAACGGACGCCCGACCTACCGGGATGGTCACACTGACAGGCCACCAGCCTCTGGCGAACCGGATTCGGAGTCATTTTGATCGCACTGCCGCCTCGGAGCTCACGGCACACCGTACATTTTACGCACCAGCACGCATAGGCGGAACTCCCGCCCCGTGCTGGCTGACGCGCAATCAAATTGTCCGGGCGAGAGTATTCTACTTATTTCCCTCATCTCCTTTACGATAGAGGAGTGTTTTAATACCGCTATCCGCAACCTACGGACCCGATCTATCAGCATTTACCGCTGCTTCGAATTGACCCCGACTAGGCCAGCAAGACCACGAAGGAGCAGGGACAAGCCTGCTCCCTTAGTCGAGGATTCGGGTAGATTAACAATTAAGGAACATAAAAAAGAAAGAAGGGTTTCAGGACCCCTAGTTTTTTCATTGAAATTGCACCCCTGGAACTCACTGAACTTTCCGCTGCAATGCTGTGTTTTGCATAACACGTTGAAAACCAGTCTATATGCAGTAGCCAGTTGTTGCAACCAGCCACGGCTTGTAAACCGTACCTTAATATGATTAATGCCTTCCAAGGATCATAATTAAATAATCTATAAAAAAAGTATTAATTTAAAAATATAAATCCTACATTAGGAGGACCTGATCAAAATTAGCACGAATTTTGCTAAAGATTCAAATAGCGAACAAGTAATTATTAAGAATGGGGTTCAAACTTACTGCAATAAAAATAATTGTATACAACTTATATTTTATTATTATTATTATTTTTATTACTTATCCGTAGTACTGAAGAAACAAATTCGACAAAGCCAAATTTAAATTACAGGAATTCTAAAAAATGGTCGTCAGTTCGTTGACGTGTTTTTTACCTTCGAATAAGTAGTAAATCAATTCGAACGACTTACTATGGATCTGCCCCTGCGCATAGGACCACCACCACTTCCACTAGCGCCATTTGATCGGAAATTCGATGTTCCGCCTCCACGTTTACCGCCACTGAAACCTCTGGAGCCTCCTTGTCTTCAGCCCCCACGACGTCCTCCGCGGGATGACGACCTTTTGTTCTCGATCAATTCATCCAAACTCACGTCCATTTTTGAACAGATATAAAATACCAAATTATAAATTCACAAACAGATCGTACGACGTTTGAATACGTAGGCTATGTATAATACGAGTTGATTCAGAAACGAAAATGTACGAGATACCGTTAGGAGAGCATTAAACAAAAAAAAAATTGCCAACACACACAAATAACAAATAAAATGTATTATTAATGCATTACACTACGGTCTCTATAGACACACTGAAAGACGAGTGGAAGTGAAATAAACAATGAAACATGATGGTCCATTAGCAAAAAAAACATACTGGTAGCAAATCATTAGACAAAAAGAAGATTTCCAAAGATAAAAAGACTTTAGATTGTACATTATTGTATTCATATACGTATTAAACTATAGTTTATATTCAGCGAAATTCATCAATTGTCATTATATTTTAGCCCATTGAAAACCACCAACTATCGGTTTCATTGATAAAATAATGTATAAAGTTTTATAGATTATATTTTACATATTTATAGTTAATCATCATCATTTATGTACAAAAATAATACACACGACAACTTTATTTTTTTAATACATTTAAGTTATACATACCAATTGAAAACAAAAACTTGTATATTATTTATGGGGATTAAAAATGGTCAGTTTTTAAGGGGTTCAGTATATACAATAATTGTTGAGCCTTACATGTTTGAGAGTAGTAAGAAATCATTAGTGTTAAGGGGATCGCATCACACGAATTTCTCGTACGTTATAGACCAATAAACAGTAATAAATTACACATACTACCAAATTTCCGATTTCAATTTTTAATATATGCATGAATTCGTTAACAAAATATCTAGGTTTTCTAAGAATCCGATTTTAAATTTTCAATTTTAAATGACCATAAAACCAAGAAATATTTAGAAAAAAATCTCATGAAATTATTGACATTTGTATTTATTTAGGACACATCTGGTTTTAAATCAAAAGTGGTTTCTACAAAAAATTATAGTCAAGTAGCTTACGAATTCAACTCTTTTTTCAAAATTACAATAGGAGTTCAGGAGGTACGTTTAATTTACAACCACTTTTAGTAGTTTTTATAGGTTATAAGTACAAAAATATATTTAATTTTTTGCGATTTATTGATATGTGCGTGTGCGTACGAGAGTTGCTTTCGCCTGCACCTCATCATATGTACCTTACTCTCTATCATTGTTGAGTTCAGTGTCACAAAAACCGGGTGTGCAGAGTGTGCCGCGCACACGGGCCCCAAGACTTACATACATTTGGGGGGGCCCCCTAGTCCCAGCCTGAAATAAACTACACTTTACAAACATACAATTATTTAATAATAAAAAGAAAATTTTTTAAAATTCATGTAAGGTTGTTATAACATTTTAGTATAATATAATATTTATTTAACAATGAGTCCATTGAGTATTTGAGTAGGCCTACAACATACCTACCTAAACTACTTAAATAAATTTACTACATAAATATGTAGTGAAGTATAATATACAACAATAATAGGTATTTAGTTTGATATATATACATATATCAATGAATATTTATATATATATATATACACATGTATATAAATATTAATAAATGATATATTATATAATACACTAACTGATGTGAAACGTGTTTTAAAACCTAAAAAAATTGATACTTAAATTGGACAAAAATAAATCCTAGAAAGGAGCCCAATATAATTACCGCACACGGGCCTCCTATTTTGTAGTTGCGGCACTAGCTGAGTCGTTTCGTTATTTACAAATAAAATAATTTTAAAATAATATTGTTTATCTGTATTCTGTTATCCCGTTATTGCCAGAGACAATACAGTCGATCAGTATACAATAGGACAGGCATGTCAAACTCGATCAAGCCAAATATAATGAATGGTTTACATACTACGCGAGCCGCACATAAAAATTTAAGAAACATTTTTTTATTATTATTATTATTATATATATATATACATATAAAACCATTTGTAAAACTTAATAGATTTCAGTTTATCTGAAATAAATAAATAAATAAGGCATAATAACGTATACCAAACATAATATAGTTAACATATATAACCAAGCCCAGATTATGATAATTTAGGACCCGGGGCCAAACAATTTTAGGGGTCCAAAACCACAATCAAAATATTGATTCACACATAAATATATTTCATAGATAAAAAAAAGTTATATTCTAATTTATAAATTTATTTCTTGCTTTTTTTCAATACAAAAAATAAAAATTTTATTTATATAAATAATTTTTTCTTTTTTTTTGGGAAGCAAACCTTTTAATTATATCATCGGTATTAATTATATCTAAAACATAACTCTCTGAACACAAATCCATAAAACTATATACTATTTTATACTTGTTTTTATACCAGCTAAAAAAGATTTAAAAAAACGAAATAAACCTACTATCCACCTATTTTTTTATATTCGTTGTGGGCCCGGGCCCATGGCCCCCTCTGCCCCCCCCTTAAACCGGGCTTGCATATCGGAACCGACAAAATCACCCATCACGAACATAGACGTGCGTAGGAATTTTTTACAGGATGTGCAGAGTTATTTTAGTAGGGGTTACTTGATCTGCTACAATTCAGTTAGATCAATATTGTAATAATTTGTTTATAATAAATTTTAATTTTAAAATAAAATAATTATTAGTTTACAGATTAGTCATATTACATATTATACAACTAAATTTACTTAATATACAACAGTCAATAGAATTTACATTTATATTTTATAATGGTAATCTTCATTGTATTGGTGTTAGTGTTTTAAACTCATCAATAATTTCCTCCATATCTAAAGATTTTGCAATTTCCTGTTCAACAAAAATTGTAAGTAAGGCAACTTAGGGTCCGAACGCACTGCGGTATTTTCGCCGTCGGGTCCGAACGGTTTTTACGTTCACACCAAACTGCTATATTTAGACGGACTGCACCGCACTCGACGGTTTCGCCGTTCTCCGCCGTCGGTCGCCGCAACATGCTGCGGTTTGACGGCGCTGCCGTTGTACCGTTCGTAAAGTAAACACATTGTTTCGATGGGAAGGAACCCACTGTGACTATAGTCAACGGTTAATTTTGTAATTTTGCATATTTTTATATTTTTTTTCTAATTCACCAAATGCTTCTGCGACAGCAATCACTTTAAATAAATTGTCATAATCATCTAACTCCATTCTAAATAAATTAAATGTAATATAATAAGTAGGACTATGCATTAAATTAACTAATAATTTAATTTATAACTTACTTACATGTATTTAGGTGTTTGTGTACAAATCGTGGTACGTAGGTATAAAAAATTTAAACTTACAGTATTAGATATAGTGAAATATAGTAAATACAGTAGATCACAGACCATAGTAGTTGGTTAACCAACCACTGTACTATCAACTATCAATATTCAATTTTCTTATGGAAATTATAAATTGATATTTAGCCAGTTTAGGCGCGAAAATTGAGTGATAACACCTATTGTATTAGCGGTAAAAAATCGCAGTGCGGTGCGGGTCGTAAAATCCGCGAACGGTAAAACCGTTCGGACCCGACGGCGAAAATACCGCAGTGCGTTTGGACCCTAACCTTTCTTGAGCCATCGTACTTCTTAATTAATTTTTAACTATTACCATTTTTGAAAAAGGTTTTTCACAAGAACAACTAATGACTGGTATAGTAGGTAGTAAATTCTTGTAGAACTTTAAATATATTTTCATAAGTCTGTTCCATCCTTAGTTATCTAACTCAACCACTGAGTTATTGTACTATTATTACTTTCTTTTTGGTTTGTCATCTATTTGTGTTAACAGTCTGACTTCAGTGTCCAGTTGATCAAAAGATAAACCAAATGTATCAGAAATAGTTTGTATATATATTTTTTCTATTTCTAGTTTTAATAAGTTACCAACACTATCAATTAAATTTAATGTATCTTGACTGAAATGAACTTTGATGCCATTTAACATTTTATCAATTACACTATTATTTACAATTATCTTCATTTCTTGTTTAATATTTTTAAAAAAATGTTGCGAATGATGTTCATAATCTATTGCAGTTGATACTTTACGCCAGGGGCGTGCTCACGGGGGGGGGGGGGGTGTCATATCCCCCCCATGAACTTTTTTTATGCATTTTCTTAAGTTTCTTGCTAGTTTCGCTTTTCTCGAAAAAAGAGGTAATGCATAATTGGTTTTAATTTTTAAGTTGTATTAATAATTATTATCAAAGATATAAAATATATATTATAGTAGTCAGTAGATACGTATACACATCTGTGAGTAATATTACGTTATCAGATACCAATGGACTATTATAACATTAAAACATTTCAGTCCATTATGTTTCGATATCTATGTTATGAACGCGCTATATAACATCGATATATCAGTACGACAGTACAGATTATATCCATCTAACGGACCAAAATAGTTCGTTCCGGGATTCCCGTCACAATCTATTGTTATCAATAACCGAGCCATAATAAACTAATAACTGCGGGCCATAGACTGTAGAGTACTTACATAGTTACATCTAACTCTGACTATTCTGACTGACCATGACAAAATAAATATAATATATTTTTTTTTATAATATACTTAATTTATTTTGTCGTGATTTTGACGTTTGATCGTACCTCGTGCAGTCGTGCGTTTTAAAATAATAATTTTCATATTTTCATAATAATTATTATTTATTAATTATTACCATACTATTACAATTATGTCAAAACGTATAATTAGTGATTATTTTTCTAAAAATACAAATCAAGATAATTGTGAACCAACTTCTAGTAAAAATTCAACAAAAACACCAAGTACACTAAATAAAGTAAGTACCCAATACTTAAAATGGATTTACATTTTAAAGTTTAAAAAACTTGGATAAAATGTACCTACTGCATCTGTTCCAAAATCTTTTTACTAACACTATGCAATGTGATTTAAGATGTTGAATATTAGTGAAAAAACATCAGTTTTGGTTCCGGTTTTGAATTCAATATCACAATCGCCTTCAGTGTCAGTATTTCAAGATCAGGTAAAGTTTTATTTACTATAAAATCATTATAAATTATATCTTTTACAATAATATTTATAGTTTTGCAGTTTTTAGCTATGCAAATATGCAATACTAAAACTTATATTTATACACATTACAAATGCCTAACTGCTTAAATATTTTTAATAATTTCATATTTTTTAGACTGAAAGTATGCATGCAAATGAAAATGATATAAGCTTATTCGTAAACTGTAGATTATCAGATGCTGATAAATTTACTGTAAGTTTAGACTTTATTGCTGATAAAAATAAACTGTTCTTACTACCTACACCTAGTGTACATAATTTTTACTGTTTAGGCACTTAAAAATGTATGGTTACCATTGCCAACATTTGAGTTTCCTTTAAACCAAAAAAATAAGAAAAGAGGTTTAAAATTCCAATATAAATGGTTGCTTCCAATCCAAAAAAATTGACTTAGTAGAAGCAGTTTGCCTTGCCGAGGCTATAATTTCAGCACTTAAGAATATTAGGATTAATATTAAACAAGAATTTAATAATATATTCTTAATGGCAGAGGTAATCAAGGTCAATTAATAAATTTTATATTTAATTTTTATCAAACAATTTCTAAACACAATATAATGTAATTTAGGAAATGGCTAAAGTTATCAGCTTAAATCTATCAGTGAAAAGAATTACAAAAAGACAAACCAATCGTGCAAATCCATTTACAGATTCTGATAATAATAAAATATCAGACATAAATGTTGAACATTATTATCGAACTACAATATTTATTCCATATTTGGATTTCTTTATTGCACAATTAGAAGAAAGATTTACTGCATACAAAACAATTTTTAAAGGTTTTTCTTTTTAACTAATATTTAGTACTAATTATAATTTTTACTAATTTATAAATTTAAATAGGATTTGAGACTATTTTTTCAAAAAATCAGTTCTTAAATGCAAGTGAAATTGAATCCTTTAAAAATCTGGCAGAGTTTTATTTACCGCATGTAAATAAAGACAATAGTTTGGCTGAACTGAAAATATGGCGAACAAAGATATTGGACAATTCTGAAGTCATTAAAACTGGCCTAGATGCTCTTCAACTCTGCAGTTCCTCTATTTATACAAATTTGAATAAGTTACTAAAAATTTTATGTGTCCTACCCGTTTCAACATCCACCCCAGAAAGAACGTTTTCAACATTAAAGAGGGTGAAGACATGCACTAGAAACTCAATGCTTGAAGTACAATTCTCTTTAACTTATTAGTTTAACCGACATTCAATATTTACTTGCATTTTATTTTAGGACCATTTGAATGGATTAACGTTGTTGGCAGTACATAAAGATATTAGCATTACTCCAGATGAAGTCTTGGATGAAATGTCTATGGAGCCAAGAAAACTTGATCTTATACTTAAAGTCTTTAGATTTATACTTTTATTATGTCCGATTATATAAAATAAAATATTTTATAAAATGTTAATTTTGAATATGATTAGCTCTATATCTAGTATTATATCATATAATATATATCAACCTATTTCTAAAATATCAATATATAAGAACATTTTGTGTATATGACAATACACAAAACAAGATACAGTTTATCCCCCCCCCCCCCATTAGAAAAAGCTGAGCACGCCCCTGCTTTACGCCTTTTTACTTCAGGTATGAATACATCAATTTTTTTAGTACAAGCCACTTTAGTTTCATCAAAAATTTTATTAAATGTTTTGTCTGATCTCATTGTTTGAAGAAAGTTTTGCAAAGCAGTTATTAGTGTAACTGCTGTATGTGATTTGTGAAGCATGAACAGTGGTATTTTAAACTTGAAATAAAAAAAGTTTAGGCAGATAATTTTAACGGGCATATATGCAAATTTTTAATTTTTCCTTTACTACATGAATAATATTAATTTCTTACTGCTAGGGGCCTCGAAAAATCGATTTGCCCAGGACATCCGAAAGTCTAAATCCGGCCCTATTTTCCTCCCTTAATAGATCTTCTCATTTTGATTACTAAATAATTCTCTGCAAAGACAAATAATAAAAATGAAACCTCTACGATAGTAACTGTAGATTGTACATTAAGTTTGATATCACCACGACTGTTGTCGAGAAAGTTTAATTTCTATGACTTGTGCCTGCACAGAATTGTTTTTTTTTTCCCCAATATGAGCCGATGGCGTCGAGGATACGAGTTTTCTATTACTTCCCCGACGCCACAAAATATATAACCTAACCTACGATCCAAATTTATATGCGCTCCAACAGTATTATTTATAATTTCTTATAGTATTACACTGTCCACATTACTGCCTCTATTATAATAATACTGAATCACTAAAACGGATGGACCGTGGAGTTGTGTAAATATAATCTGTATATATAAAACAGTAAGCTGATTGACTGATCTATCAACTCACAGCTCAAACCATTGAACGGATCGGGCTGAAATTTAGCATACATATAGCTATTATGATGTAGGAGTGCGCTAAGAAAGAATTTTTGGAAATTCAACCCATAAGGTGGTTAAAAAGGGTAAAAGAGATAAAAATTTAAAACGTTTTTTTTTGTTCTGATTTTTTAAAATTCAGTATACATACTCTGTAAAACAAATAAACATTGTCTATAAACTTTATTTTTTGAATTTCAAGCCCTAAAGGGTTGAAAAATGTAAAAATAGAAAAAAAACGGTCATAAACATAATACCAAATAATACTACAATCGATATTAGATTAATTATTATTATTAGGTATTGCGTTATCTTGATGAACGGATTATTATTTGTGTAATTGACAATTGTGTATTATACATAATAATGTTATATATTTTATATATATATATATATAATATGATACAGAATAAACTATACCAACTCTCAATAATCAGTTTTAAATAATTAAACAATGTTTCATCAATAATTTAAAGTAGGCACACATTTTTGCAGGGTGTGCAGCTGCACACCCCGTGCGTATGCCTATGCATAATACGCTTTTCACCGATGTAAATGAAATAATTATAGGTACGTGTCCTTAAAAAAAATTCAAATTGTATGTGCTACTTACAGGATTGTATCTTACACTTTCTGCAAGAAGCAACTTAAATTTTTAATTATTTCATTGACTGAAACAACAAAACGAAATTTGGGAAAGGAAATTATTTTGTTTAATTTATTTTTGTTTTACGAAGATTAATTAAAAAGTTTAAAATTAATTTTATCGATATTAGGCCTATGTATTTTTAATATTCAATCAAACCTATTGCAGTAACTTAACTTTTTTAAGATCAACTGCACTGTAGTGCATAATACATTATTTAATATATTACAATTACAATAATTAATTTTAATATACTAACATTTTTTTTCTCGCTTTGCTTGAACTCTACTACAAATATTAATTTATTTTTGTTTTATATTTTGTCAACGCCAATATTATTGAATTATTGTTGTGTTCATGTATGTCACTGTTAGTAACACTTAACTCAATTATTCAAAATATTTATATTTGTTCAATTTTGATCAATAGAACAAAAATGTATAAACTATAGCGGTTATACCTAGTTCTATTCAATCACATCAACAATATTTCAATATTAAGTTGAGAATAACATAACTTAAATCTAATTCGGGAAAATAGTTACTATGATTTTTCATGTTAACATGGTTGCTTTAAGCCAGAGTGCAGATTTAGGAAATTTTAGGAGAGGTTCAGGTCAGCTTACTCAAAATTGATATTTGTTGAAAAAATTGGGCTCTTGAAGATTTATATTTTTCAAGTGTGCTGACTATAAGTTGAAGTTAAAACTAAACTGATAAATGCTCCAGTTTACTCATCTTGGACATTAATATATTACATTATTTTTAAATATTAATATTTTAGTTAAATAAATAAACCAATATTTATATCATGTTTAAAAATTAATTTATCATCAAAATCATTTAAAAATCTGACCACTATATAGTATATGATATAGAACAAATACAATTTTCCAAATGCATACTAAAAATAATTATAATGAGCAAATAAATACATTTCATATGCGACAATTTGATTAATAAAATTAATTCATTTTGAACATGTTTAATAAAAATATTAATAATAACATAATAATTAATACAGTCAACAGTTATAACAATAAATACAATTTAAAATGTAAATATTAACCAAATTAATTAATAACACTAATTACATATATTTTATTACAAACATATCTTTCCATGTAAATGAAAGAAGTTATAATATAAAAAATAAAATTATTATACATTTTTATGACTAGAGTATGTCCAAAGAAATATTTATAAGTATAATAAATAGACAATATTTGAAACTGGAAACGTCAAACTTAATGCTTGCTAGATTTATCTAACCTTTTATAATTCATCAATTAAATTGAAAGTTTTAGTTATAGTAATAGTTATAGATAATTAAAATAAAAGTATTAAGAACATTTTTCATTAAGTGATTGTGATATAATTAATATGGTCACTATTAAAAGTTCAAAATAATAATACTAGGAAGTGAGATGTTGATTAATAAAATGGAAATGGTAAATAACATAACTATTGAATTGACTGGAAAAGGAACAAGAAAATGAAAAAATAACTACGAGGACTATATTTGAATAATTTAAGAATGGTCAAAACTGTCTTGAGGAGAGTTGTTTAGCTCATCGACTTCCTGTATAATAGATTCATCTTCTTGACGTTGCCTTTCCACTAGCATTTCTTGTCGAAGTTGTGCATTAAGTTTAACAATTCTGTTTTGAACTTTTGGAGATAGTTGACAAGTTTGATGTTCTAGATCATCAAAACTAGCACGTCTGTTTATTTTATGATGATGATGATGATGATGATGAAAATGATGATTAGAAGATGGTGGTGATGGAGAATGTGAATAACCATGATGATGGATTGACAGACTAGGTGATGTTAAGGAACCTCGTCTGAGTGGTGATGGTCCACCTTCCCATTCATTTCCTTCCATTGACTTCACCAAACTATGTCTGTTCAAAATATTACACGTTTTGTAATAAAAAATTTATAATAAAAAAAAATATTATTAGTATAACAAACCTTCGAGAAAGTGTAATTAAGCTTTGCCTGTGTTTGGATAAACGACGTGATTTACCTAACCGCATTTGAATAGCAGAAAAATGATTTTGGATAGCTAATCCTAACTCTGGACATTCTTCGTCATTCACCTTAATACAAATGATAAAACTGATCAATGACAATTAAAAATTAGATGTCCTAAGGAGACCAGTTGAAAAATAAACCTACAATCACAGGTGCGTTTTTTAACATTGTATATCCATCACATCCATTGTGTAAATAACATTTAGTGGCCAATTTGTATGATTGATCAGGAACAAGATATTCATCACCGATTCTTACTAAATTGGGTTCAATTCTTTTCCCAGGTTCTGCTTCTGGATCGAAACCAAAACTTATTCCAGACACTTGAGGGAATCTTCCTTCTGTTTTAGGGTACTTACAAACACTGTTTTCTAATGCATCTAAAATTTGTTTCCCTACAAACATAATATAAATAAAAAATTTATAATTAAATTTATTTCAAACAGTACAAAATTTTATTCCAAAATAAATAAAATATTTTATTTACCAGTTACTAATATGACTATAGTAGGATCTTGCATGGGTACAATATTAACAAGATCACCCAAAGTAAAATCTCCTGGTGGGTGAATACGATCTGATCGGAAAGTACCCGAATTTAAAATCACTAAGTCCGCTCCTGTGGCAGCCAATAACACATCACATACCCAGTTTCCAAGATTGGTTTCAGCAGTTCTTATTTGACTAAAACGTCCTTCTAATTCAACAGTGAATGTACCTAATACTTCACTCATTTTTCCTTCCATTATACCTGAAAAAATAAATATATTTACATTATCCATCATGTATATGATGAAATTTATTTAAAACTATATTAGAAGAAATAAAACTACAATGTATATTTTCCCCTCATAATTGTTTCATATGATATGGGAAAAACATTTAAATAAGTTATAAATAATTAAAATGTATTTATAAGAAAACCTTTATAGATTAATTTATTATATATATTTTCATTTATTCAATACTTATAATTTATGAATTTTTTGAAAAGGTAACAAATAACTTAAATATATTTAATTTTACAACATTTTCAATGTATAAAAATTTAAATAAATATTTGAAAACTAAAATAACAATAATGATGTAATCAATCTATACCACAAACCTGAGTAAGAATCCAAGATTTCTTTCATAACTATATCTTCCTCGATTTCTTTGGTGATTTCTATCCTTTTTACATCAACTGGATTATTAAGTTCATCAAGGTTGACAGTTACTTTAGAAAATTCTCTAAAGTCAGTTCCACTTTTGATAATATGTCTACCATTAATCACTTGTACATCATAATTATGGTCATGGCCACCAAGAATTAAATCTATTTCATTTACATTTTCTGCTAACTTGATATCATTTGGCATACGCATATGAGTGAGAGCTATTACATAATCACAGCCATCTTCTTTAAGTTGTTTTCCTAATGATTGACCAGCTTGTACAAAGTCAATAAATGTAACTTCTTCGGGATCAATAGTAGCTAGTGTGTCTAACCATTCTCGTTCCACTAAGCCTACTAGTCCTATTCTCTTATTATGCCAATCCATAACATGTGTGATTTTACCATCTCCTAAAGGTCTACCAGTCTCGTTATCAACCACATTGGACATTAGCCACGGAAATTTAGTTTCAGAAATACGTTCTGATAAAACTTCTAGGCCAAAATCTAAAAAATAATAACAAACATTAAAAACATTACTAAATTAACTATTAATTTTCTATTGCTTACCAAATTCATGATTACCATAAACAGCACATTGAGTGCCAAGCTCGTTTAGCACCTTAGACATTTGCTCTCCTTTAGTAAATGTGCTCACTGAAAATATAATTGGTTTGTTAAAATTATTTTAAAATGTATAATACAATTATTTGAAGTGAATTATATTTTTGTAAATATTTATAGTTTTGATTTGTTATGAATAATGAAATAATGAGAAATAATATTATCACAACATGAAAAATAATCAATACAAAATTTAACATTAATACAGTGGAACTTTGATATACAGTGGAACTTTGATAAGTAGAAATTCAAGGGAAATGCAATTTTTTTCGACTTACTATAGTTTTCGAGTTACCAAGGTTTAAGAAAAAAAAATTTGACTTAAAGAGTTTTTAAAATGTATGTATGAATTAAAGTTTTTAAGTAGTATTAAATACAATGTAAAAAAATGTGATTATATAGGTTATTTAAATTTAAAAAAATAATCACGAAAAAAATATAATAAATAAAACATGTGTTGCAACTTTATAATAAATAATTTGTTATTTTACTTTGACTAAAAATTTAAGATTTACTATTATCAATAGTATTTTCTACTACATTTAAAACAGTGTTCACTTTATGGTCCACATTACTTAATTGTTCTGTGAATGTCCTTAGCAATATTAGTGCTGCTGCTGCTTGCTTCATTGAAACACGATGCGTAGGCTTAGATAATGCTTCTTTGACGTCATCAACATCTTCAGTGCCACGAACAGAGTCAGTTATATTGTTGTCTGTCGGAATACCAGAAATGGTAACATCATTATCAATTTCAACATAATCATCAAAATTTTCTTCTGAGATTCCATAACGACTTGTTATCCGCACCCATTCTCTGTCATCCGTATCAGTATTTTCGATTATAAGCAACAATGTGTCATCTTTCTCAACTTCAAGTACAAATCCACATGATCTAAAGCAGTTCACGATTGTTGTCTTTGTTAAGTTTCTCCACATTTTATCAACAATGTGCATAACTTGAAGAATATCGATTACTGTAGATTTTTTGTCAACCATATCACTTATAATTTTTCTCACTATTTCTTATCTATAAAGCATCTTGAACGTTATAATAATTTCTTGGTTCAAAAGTTGTGATTTTAAAGTGGTATTTGGTGCTAAAAATTTTACTTTTACAGTTTGACAAGTTGGTATACAATTGTGAGTTGGGCAATTGTCTATAAACAATAACATTTTATGTTTTTGTATTTTCATTTGTTTGTTTATTCGTAATAGCCATTTCGCAAACAATTCACTAGTCATCCATGTCTTCTTATTTGCTATGTAGTCAACGGAAAAATATTTAACATCAGCAAAACACCTAGGTTTTTTCGATTTTCTGATTATTAAAGGTTTAAATTTTAAATTGTTAGTGGCTTAATGACTGCGAAATGTTGAGCTTTATCTTTTAAAATAGGACCTCCGATACTGACATTGGCATCTCAGCATTGTTTAAACCACTTAACCACACATTCTTTTACGTCTAAAAAATCAGGGGTTTTCTTTCTCTTCGGTCTGTTGGAAAGTTTAAATCAATTCCATACTAATTTTTATAATGGTAGATAATGTGCTGGCTGGTATTCCAAATTTTTCAACGATTTCTTTCTTCTTCCTTCCACTTTTCACTACTTTAAGAACCTTTTGTTTTTCTGCAATAGTTTGCGTTTTTAAATTAGAGGTATTTTTACATTCATTACCATACATAGACACCGGACATGCGTAACCAATTGATCATAACTGGCAATACCGTTACAAATGAAAAATACTGTCGTGTGCTGAGATTATTACATACGATAATAAACACAATAAACGCGATAAGAAAAATTCATTGGACCGTTTAGACAAATGTTTATAAATCTATCCGTCTATATTCGGAGCACAATATCTTCGAGTTATCTAGTTTTTTTTCGAGTAATCGAGGTTTATGCAAGGGAACAGAATTTTTTCTGACTTATCAAGATTCCACTGTATTTACCAATGATTAATTTTGTCCAATCTAAAGTATAATATTTCAAATTTCAAATATTACATAAGTAAATTAATTAAACTTAAAATTGTATATTAACTCAAAATAAATATCAAAAACATTTTTATTCTTACATATACTAGGAGAAAATACATCTCCACTAAATAATATCATAGGTTGTTGATGTGCAAATGATTTGATCATTGTTGAAAATCTAGATGCACCTCCACATGGTTCTTGATCTCTTGGTTCAACATTGTAAACATCATTAAAATGAAGAATTATTAAAGGAGGTGTTGAACCAGATATATGATCAGTCATTGCAGTTAGAGTTCGTAAACTAGCGTGTTGAACTTCTAATGATGCCTAAGCATATTAAAAATAAAACAATAAAAAATAATTATTTTTTAAAGTGCGTATATAAAAAAAAACATACATCTATACTATATTAGTTATTTATATTTTTACTTATTTTTGAATAATAGTTTTCAATTCTAAAGCAGTTGCACTTATTAGATTAATAATGTAGGTTTTTTTAAAAGGTATTATCTAACTATTCTTATACAGTATAATCATAAACCTTAATGAAGCTACTTATCTAATTTTTATGCATAGTATATTTTTCAAGTGACAATAATTTAGGTAAAAGATAAAATTTAATTAATTAAATAATAAAAAAATAAATTAAAAAATAAAAATAAGTAAATGGTTAATACTCGTAAATGAATACATAAATAGTTTAAATATAAAAATAAATAAATGCATAGCCTGGAGTATTATTATACTTGTAATGTACGACTAGTTTCAAACTAAAATTATCATAAGATATATACAGTCAATAAAGTTGCAATTTAATTGACTTTATATATGATGATGAACTTTTAAATTTAAACCGGCTGTATATTAAAAATATAAAAGTACTCCGGGCTACACATTTATTTATTCATAATTTCTATTTCTATTTAAAAATGTAATTACTATAAGAATGTATAGGGTTATAAAAAACAAAATGTTTAATGTTATAAGTAATAACACTATCAAATAAAAATGTATTGATTAAGAATTATCATTCTTGTATTTTTTATTTTTATTTTATATTTTTATTAGATTCTTGTATACAATTATAGCTCAACAACTATAGATAATAACAATACAGGTAATAACAGTTGTAAAATATAATTTACATAATACAGTAATGTTTATAAAGAAAGATAAAAAATCATTCTTATATTATTCTAATAATTATTATTCTTTCCAATAAAAATGTAGTTTTATATATTTATAGTTTCTATGATAATTCTTAATCAATCTATTTTTATTTGTTAGTGTTGTTACTTATATCATTCTACATTTTAGTTTTTTGTAACCCTCTACATTTTTATTAGAAAGAATAATAATTATTAGAATAATGCTAGAATAATAATTATCTATTATAGTAGTTTTAAATATTTATGGTTTCTATGATAGTTCTTAATTAATCCATTTTTATTTATTAGTGTTATTACTTATATCATTATACATCTTTGTTTTTTGTAACGCTATACATTTTTATAATAATTACATTTTTAAATATAATATAACAATAAATATAATAACAATTATTGTTAGGGATATGAAAATATTAATTATATTAAGAATATTATAAAATATTTTGATGAATATAGTTAAATTATTTATTTGTGAAATGTATTATTACAAAGTAGATTTAATATAGTATTCTATAAAATTGTATTATTGCAGCTCTATAATTTATCTTGATAATTACTAAGAATAATATTTGATTAACTTTATAAATAATTAATAAGAATTTAAATTTAAAAACTAACACGTACTTTTAAGAATTAAAAATTAATTATAATAATTTAAAACAGTAACCATGTAAAAAAAAGATATTTAAATAATAATTTATGTAGATACACGATATGGATAATTATAATTAATCAAGTAAATATAAGATTAGACAATGGCAGACTGGTAAAATATACTCTACTCTTAGTCTAATAAATATGTATTTGTTCAATGATATTCAATGTTTTTCAAAAGTTGATATATTATACCTGTTTAAGCCAACCGACTACATTTCGAACCCCAGTAGACATTTGGTTTGCACTAGAAAGTTCAACAGCAGTTGCTGTTGAAGAATCCACAAACTCATCCCATTTTGACCTTAGACTAGATTTGGTAGCCATGCTGTTAGATAAGTTGACTTCTTTGGTTAGGCTAACTACAAAATTAATATGTTAATACTTAATAATAAATATGGTTTTAAAATTAATATACTAGGGCATACAATTTTAAAACATTATTTATTAAAAATAGGTATTTAGGGTATATTCTCAATAAAATACAGTTATGTAACATTTACAAAATGTTAAAATTATAAAGAAATACAGTAGTAGGCAAATGAAAAAACCTATAGATTTTGTTCTTTAGGATTGTTCAGGGTATTGAGGACACAAACAAAATTAGGTCAGGAAAAAAAATGGTCAAGAGAAAACATGTTTTATAAAATGTGTTATATACTGTGATATAATGTTATCAGGTTAATGAATATTAAAATATGGCAATTTTATTTGTTCGCAGTAATAATCTTATTCAAAATGATAAAATACGTTCTTTAAATAAATCAAATTTATTTATAGAATTTAATTATCAAATTTATCGAAAAAAAAAAATGTTCGTAGAAAATGAAATGAAATCAAGAACAAGATTATCGAACAATCGCCAATTATGAACAATTGGCAACTAGGTAAGATTGAAGCAATGAAACCAGAATATCTTAATTTAAACATCAGATTGTTAATTAAACAAATCTAGAAATAAAACGGTTTCATGAACACTGAGAACATAATTTTATTTCAGACGCCAAACGTGTGTGTACGTCAACTTTGTCAATGTCAAGTCGACATAGGTTTTTAGTCTTCTAAAATTAGTGTTTTGCAAAATCACAAGAAGGGCAATGACATTCTAGAACAATCACGTACGTTTAGGCTCTTGAAAAAAAAATCGCTAATCAATGGCACGACGAAGAACTTATTGAAAGTTGCGCATAATCGTGATCGAAAATAAGGATCAAGAATTTAGTGCCGGAAATTAAAAAATGAATAATCTGATACAAAATGTAATCAGTCACTGGGTTTTACAACAACGATTCGTGTGCCTCCATGATTTTTTTTTTAAGTTGGACGCGTCACCGCTACCTCCTAGGTACTACTACTATTACTGCTCTACCTTTATAGTGGTGTAAATAAGCCTGACGGACACCTGCCTTATGACAACGAACGCGCTGCGGTTCGCACGGAATCGGCCTATCATGGTGGCTCCGGCGCCTGGGTTTCGATCAGAATTGGCCCTCTTTCCAGAGCGCCTACGAACCACCGACGACGAACGGCTCCTCCGTCAACCGCACGGAGACGACGGTGACGACGACGTAGTACACGAGCACGGCGGTGACCGTGGTCATATCAAACGCGAGCGTATGAGACACTTCCCGGGAAGAACGTCCCTGAACGTATGTGGGTCAGGGTGTTTCTGTTTACTTGCACGAGCCGCTTCAGAGGGGCTGCTATTGATTTTTTTCCCCCACCTGCCGTGTGCGTGCACTCTCTACACTGAACGACATCACTAGCGTCCCCTCCTCCCTTTTGGTGACTAATTTTTTCGGAATCATTCAACGACGATTTCCTTACCTGTATTTTTAGCTGCGGATCTCGCGTTCCCGGGTGAACGAGCTCTTCAACAACGATAAGCAAACGGGACGCGACACACGGAGTTACGTTTAGTGAACAGCGTTGCGAATGACAACCGTCTGCTGATTCGCAGTAAGATAATGTCAATGCGCGCGGGCGCACAATTATGATAATATTATGTCAATGTTTACCTTTTCCCACCATCGTTATCACGTGTGCACATCTCGATGGGTCTACGAGAGTTTCCAACCTCCTTGGTAACCGCGCAATATTTTGAAACTGATCATATCGATTATGCGCGCCAATTTTTATCGTTAGCGTGGATTAACAACCGTTTTGCACTCCAAATGCTGAGTTTGCGTCAACAAATTTAGGTTTGAGTGTTTTTTTTTCCTCTCGTTTAATGGGTAAGTATATTTATTTTCGTTTCATTAATTTACTGGCTTAGAAACTTTATTCAAACGTCTGGTTTTTGTATCATTCAAATACGATCGATACAACGTTATAATACCAGAAAACATTTAAAAATGTTCAATTTAACGGTTAACTTTTTAAAATGGTCATCCTTAAAATATAATCTATAATATCTTATTGGTAGAAGTTTTCTACTTACATCTGCTACCTACAAGCACCCTTCATCGGAACACTGCTTTGGAAAAAAAAAAAAAAAAAATTGGATCAATCGAAAATTCTTGAGTTTGATAAACATCAATGTATATTTTAGGCAAATTTTGTTCAAATTGATTAAAATTTGGTGTACAAGTAAATTTATAAACATATTTGAAGATAAATTGTAAACAATGTTCAGACATTGTTTAAACAGAGTTATGAAAACAATCGAGCGAAGCGAGTACAATTTTTTCGGAGTACGAGGGTGGTTTTATTTGAACAATCGTGGTAAGATGTAACTGTTAAAATTGCCTCTATCTTTGTTCATATTTTTGTATTTTTTTTTTTTTTTTATTCTACTTTCAACTCGTCGACTTCAATATTCAACCTCATATTGCTCCCGCATTGATTATCATAGTGTTGTTGATATACGATCTTCGATCTTCATTACTCAGTGTTACTTCTTGATATTCTATACTTAGCGGAGAACAATATAGCCTTTCAAGGGTAAAAATTTTCTTGAAATTATAGGAAATTTCCTATTTCATTTCTGATACTTTAAATTGGCATACATTGTAATAAGATAATGTACAAAGCCGTTATTTCGACGTTTTTAAACATTTTAAAATGGGCCAGATATTAATTCATCTGACCAATAAAATATTAGCTTACTACTCGTATATAATTCCAATCTGATCAAGACCTATGATTTATAATATATGCGATATTTCATAATTATTCATAATTATAAAACTATCATTTAATAAAATTGAAAATACATTAAAGATAAATTTGTTATTTTAAAAGTAAATATGCATTATGAATAGTATAATTTAATTTCATTAATATTTAGTATAACAATTTTAGTTTTAGAGGTGGCAGTAATTTATTAAATTATGCACCAGAATGCTGAATATGAAATAAGATAAAATAAAGACACTTAGCGTGACACAAATCATGTCAGGTGTTAAATTGCATATCACTGCGCCGTCATACGAAATTCCTGCAAAACACTTGTGTTATTTGCTTTTTTAACAATACTACTGAAGTTAATAAATGCTTTGAAAACAATTATTGAAAATATGGAACAAAATAATAATTTTATTTATTTTTCTGTTAGTTTTTAGTTCTTAGTTTTTTATATTTTGACTTATTTAGTTTAATAAAATTATAAATTATTTATTTCTTCGTATGGCTTAGCAAATCAACGTTACAGCAAATATAATTATTAATTAAACAATAATAAACAATAAAATAGAATAAAATATAAAATATAAATAAATACAAAAATTAAATTAAATTGAGATTGAAAAGGTTATGAGGATGTATAACATATATAATATAATATAGTGAAGCGTGAGTAGATTACAGCTGTACGTCCAGTTCCCTTATCCACTTTATTGCTTCTGGTGTTATCGCGAGAATTCCTTCGATACCCTGGTTGAATTTCTTTAATAAATATTCTTTTATAATGTGATTTACCGTTTGTCTATCGTTACCGCAGTTGCATGTTGGGCTGACTTGGAGTCGCCATTAAAACATCATGTCAGCGCAGCGGCCATGGCCTATTCGAAAACGATTTAGTACGGACCACTCATGTCTAGGCAGTTCCATACGCATAACTCCATAATTGGGGTCTAGCACCAGGTTTTTGTTTTTGATTGGTATAGTAGAATTAGTCTATTTATCGCGCCAGCACTATTTAATATCAAATCCTAATCTTATTAGGTCTTTGGCTGTCTTCCAAGGCGGTTTCCTTGATTTCAGTCTGAGTGTTGTACATCTAAACTTTCGGCTATCAGTGAATTTATCTTATCTTCATTTTTCTTGATTGTATTAATAAGTTTCTGCTTTCTTCGTAGGTCTGGTGGAGCTATATTGGTTAAAACTGGTAGCCACTGTAGCTGGGTGGATTTTATCGTGCCGATAATCACTCTTATTACGCTATACAGTTATAGGGCTGTGCGATTAATTGAATTAATCGAATATTTTAATCGATTATTAATTGAAATATCCGAAAATAATTAAATAATTGAATAATCGAATAACCGAATAATCGAATAATCGAAGAAAAAAGTTCATTATTAAATGAATTATAATGAAAAACATGGCTATTTTCGATTTATTTTAATCTTTGCTATATGTAGAGCCGCGTACACACGAGCGCGCCGAACCTGTAATGCAACGTTGCACGCGCGGCGCGTTCGTTCGTGTGGACAGTATTTGAAACACGCGCGCGATGTCACTGCAACCGCGTTAAAAGAACCAATTTTTGTCGGTTTTTCCGACGAACTCAAAGGAAATGTTCGGCGCAGCGTGGACGTGTTTATATTATTTTTATCATCGTTGAAACGCGCATACCGCTTTGACAACGTGATTTGACACTAGTACACTGTCGTAACCTATTTATTACTAGTACTCGTATTTGTGTACTTGTAAGTTTTTATTGTAATTTGTACTTGTAATTACTTGTAATTTTTTGTCAATAATATTTCAAAAGTTGAAGAACTCATTCGAGTAAAATTTTTATATTGCCCACTGATTTCTTGAAATTTTAAATCCATTAAAAGTTCATTTCCACTACGTTTTTTAAATAACTCAGTGTGCCACCATCTTCGTTTGCGACCCCTTTTTTTT